ACTGGGGATTCCATGGACTTCTAAGAGAACCCTACACGCATTTCCAAAAACAAACTGCTTGATGTTGTCATGGAAAACCTGGATCTTTGCATTCTATGGTTTCACGATGGATTATATCCAGGTCACGACCTAAGGAAGACAGCTGGCAAAAAGCCAACCCTGCTGGCTGATCACCGGCTTTTGTAACAAATCCCAAAGGGATGCGAACCAATGTGTGCTGCTGGCTCTGCCAAGTCCTTGGACAAGTTCTCACCTCTGAAGACCAATCAGCCTGTGGTTTACTCCGCCAGGAGGCTCTGGGAAGCCACCTGCAATCAACATTCAATGGCTAGAAGCTGCCTCCAGAAGGCGAAGGAATGGAAAATGTGCATGTCAGGGGAAGGAGAGTGGGATGAAGGAGCTCTTTGTTTTCCTGTCAATTTGACTGCTCTCTCCTGCTTTTTAAAAAAATGATCTGAGGACACCCCTGGTTACATCAAAGCCACAGGACTACTGTGCGCCCTGAGCTCCAACACAGGCAGGCTCTTAAGGACAGGGAAGGACCCTACACACTGTATTTGTGTTTGATTTGAACAGAATAAGGTCAATTCCAAAAGCTACAAGATATCCCTGTTCCTTAGAATGCAACAAATCCGGGAAACATATAATATACTAAAACTTGCCAAGAAAGCAGAAATACTTTGATAATGATTCTATAGCTACCATTTATTATTTACTGTGTGTTAAGCACTATGCTTAAGCCTTTTTATGTAGCATCTAACTTAATCCTCAAAACAGTCCTGAGGTATAAAGTATTATACCCATTTTACAAGTGAGAAAACTATGGCTCAGAAAAGTGAGGCAAATTGGTCCGTGTTTCAAAGGCACATTCAGGTGAGGCTTGACCCCTCATTACTGCGTGAGTGCTGAACATCAAGGACACGTGCACAGTATTTAGAAAGTATCAGCCGGATGTCCACCATTAGGCCAGGCCCTGAAGGCAGATCCTGCTATCTGGATTCACGTAACAGGCAATAGTTATATTTCATTACTGTTTAAGTTAGCCCAGAGTTTGGGATTTCCACTGAAGTAGCAGATTCTTTCACACCCAATTTCTAAACTCGGACAAGATTTTGATTAATTGTGCTGTGTTTTTTATAGACAGTGAAGGCTACACAAGCCGGTGGCCTATTTATATCTTAAAATTAGGTATAGCAAAAGAATATGCTTACGATCATTTTTCATCCAGTCACATTTTTGCCAAAATGTAAGGTGTAAGAACAAACACAGCCTGAGTATATTTCTAAAGAATCTTTTTGTTGCTCTGGCAACGGGCTCCTTTCTCATCATTTGTTTCAGTGTTGAAGAGATCCAGGGCTGAGGGAGAGGGGGCATAGGGAGAGAAGAAGCCGATGCTCACAGCCGCAGCAAGTCCTTGCTGAGGCTGGGGCTGACCAGAGGCTATCACAGATTGGCCAACGGGAGAAAGCCAGCCAGCCCTTTCGGATGCCAGTGTGGCAACGTCCTCAGCCACGGATGCAAGAACCACAGCGCCCCTTACACTGGCTTGAAGAGCATGATGAGACCTCCCATAGGGGAGAAAGCGCCCACTGAGTATCCCTTGCAGGTGTGACCCCCAAACATGAGAAGTATAGCTCAGTCCCTCTTTTTCATGATTTCTTCTCTGAAGGGTGATGCTAGGCTGGACAGAGAAAAGAAACCAGTTATTTCCTGCATTTCAGCACTTAGATCAGCGGCTCCTAGACAGCAGTCGAACTATGCAGAAATCTCTGCCTCCTGCCAATTTAAAATTCTGAGTAATTTAAGAATTTTTGAGATGCTGCATAAGTAACAGGAATAAGGAGGAAGTTAAAGCTTCTAGACTGGAAAGAGGCAGAAGATCAGCACCAGCCCTCAGGAGTGCTCCTACTTCTTTCTCCTCAACCCTCCTCCCAGAGGCCTTGTGCAGACAGAAAAGTAAGAAAAACTCATTGGAGGCCAAGCACAGTGGCTCACACCTGTAATCCCAGCACTTTGGGGGCGGAGGTGGGTGGATCACTTGAGGTCAGGAGTTTGAGACCAGACTGGCCAACATGATGAAACCCTGTCAATACTAAAAATACAAAAATTAGCCGGGCATTGTGGCGGGCGCCTGTCATCCCAGGAACTTGGGAGGCTGAGGCAGGAGAATCGCTTGAAACTGGGAGGGGGAGGTTTCAGTGAGCCAAATCATGCCATTGCATTCCCACCTGGGCAACAGCGTGAGAATCCGTCTTAAAAAAAAAAAGAAAAGAAAAAAGAAAAAAAACTCACTGGAGTGTTCGAATACCGGAGAGCCATACTAATCTTTGTGCAATAATGAACACCTTGCCATTAATGTGATGCACACGAGAGTACCAAAATGTGTTGGACTAATCCACATTCAGAGATGGAATTCACTCAACTAACACCTTATTATAAACTGCATGTAAATAGTCTTGAAGGATACTATGCTTTGCTTCTGAATGACTGCCAAAGATAGGTTTAGTGTTATGGCCCAAGATGTCCCACCCCTTCCAGTAAATGGCCACTGGTTTACTGGAAGATAGTGGGATCATCAAGTTTCTCAGGATAAGAAGCACCCCTACATGACAAACCAGGAGTCTCATCTACATACCAGCAAATCAATAAAGCCCATAATAAAGGCATGAAATCATCAAGGATGTACAAATACAACAGAGCGAGAGAACAGTAAACAGAAATCCTTCTCTCTGGTCAACCAGGCTCTTCAACAGGATTAATAAATTGTGTGTGCTGGCTTCCCTTGAGCTACATGTTTGACTCTTCAAAAGCCTTCAGTAACATTTCTCTGCAAAAGTTTTAAGATATACACATGCATGCATACACACACACACACACCCCCACCCACCCACCCACCCACCCCTGAGGCACCTTGTGTCCAAGGAGAATAAAGCAGGGACATTTCTCTGATAAGAAAATGATGTGCCGGGCGTGGTGGCTCAAGCCTGTAATCCCAGCACTTTGGGAGGCCGAGAGGGGCGGATCACGAGGTCAGGAGATCAAGACCATCCTGGCGAACACGGTGAAACCCCATCTCTACTAAAAAGTACAAAAAAACTAGCCGGGTGAGTTGGCGGGCGCCTGTAGTCCCAGCTACTCGGGAGGCTGAGGCAGGAGAATGGCGTAAAACTGGGGAGGCGGAGCTTGCAGTGAGCTGAGATCCGGCCACTGCACTCCAGCCCGGGCGACAGAGCGAGACTCCGTCTCAAAAAAAAAAAAGATGACTCAGTCTTGAAACCCACCTTTAACATTTCTGGGTGGTGAGATGCCAAGCTGGAGGGGAGAGACATCTTCAGAAGTGAGTCAAAAGGGGACAAGGAGCTTCACAGAATCAAACTCTAAGCCTAAAAATTCTAAAAGAAGGTCATATTTTCCAATCTTCCTATTTTTCAGAAGGAGAACGCTGAGACCCGGGGTGGTACATTTATCTCATGTGAAACTGCTAGTGAGGAGCAATGCTGAAACACAGAATCCTGGTCTCCCAAATTCCATGAGTGCCTGGGTCACTTGTGGTATGGCTGATCCTGGCAGATGGAGAGATGAGGGACCTGAGACTTGTCCCTTTGGGCCAGAAAGTTTAAGGGGCCTGGTGTCTGGATGGTGTATTCCCCCATGAAAGCAAATCAGAACTAAGGAGCAGGCCCTCTGTCATTTCTCTTGGCCCATTACTCCCCGTCCCCCACCTCCACCCTACACAGGGGCCTCTTAAGATTTGAGGAACAGTAAACTTTATCTTATCGGCTGTTTGGGAAAAAACTGTCATTTGATCTGTTTATTTGGAAGCCAGCCCTGCTGAGCTCAAGAGTTTGCTATGAGGCTGGCTAGAGTGAATTCGTTTGGGGGCTGCTGCTTTACTGCCCTGGACACATGGCTCAGTGTATAACTTCATTTTGAAGAATCCTGTGCACACAGCTCTAGAATTTGCTGAGGGATGAATCACCTGTGCCCTTCATTTAGGGTTGTAGGTGGGTAACTTTGTCTTGTTAGAGTCTAGATTAATGTCTTGGTTAAAAAGTAAGCACCTGTTTTCTGAATATCAAAGCAAGTCTACTCCTCTACTTCTTTGGGGATGTCTTCAAACTCAGCTGTGTGTTTGTGTGTTTCTGTCACCCAGAACAAGAACCTTGAATCAAACCTAGACAGACTATTATCCCATTGGTTCAGGACCCACCTTTCAAACCCACGCAGGGAAGCCTACAAAAGTGCTGGTAGCCGTGGATGCTTTCCCTGCAGTTCACAACCTTCTCCCTGGGACCACTGTAAAGAGCTCATCCTTTTCTTTCCGCCCATTTCTAATAAGCTCATGAGTGAGAAATTCCCAGAAAATGGAAGAGTTAGCTTGCATTTTCTGATCTGAGTGCACAGAACATTCTGTCAGGCTCTAGGAGACAGACAATTTAAACCAGAACCTCACTAAACACACAGCAGCTGATACTAATTCCTTCCCAGCCCGTGTCTTCCCCACCCAAGCTGAAATCATCTGGGGGCTGGAGCGGAGAGTGGATGGGGAAGCAGGCTTGCTGCTTCTCAATGAGCGACCCCACTTACATTCCTCTTAGCATCGAGTGCTTGCTGAAGGTGGGACTCACACTTTCCATAATTCCTCAGGGAGTTGCACTGACGTGGAGAGCATGCTTTTAATTTAATGGGAAACACAAAAAGTAGTAGTAGTTACTCAAACCAAAACCAACAACTTAGACCCCGAGGAAATAAGCAATGAGGAGGACCACGTAACACCAGAGAAGAACAAGCCCGTTTTCTTTTGGGTAAGACAGGGGAAAGAGGCCCATGCGAGCAGCACACAAACGTCGCCTAGAACGGAAGGGGCAAAGGAAACCTGATTAGAGAGAAAATAGTCTTCTCCAAAACTGGCAGGAAGCAAATGCCCGGTGCCAGAGTGCGCTGCACTGGGCAGCTCTCCATCCCTGCATCCCACCGTGCCCGGGGTCCTGCCTTCTTACCTGCAATTCCTTGCAACAGCCCACAGACGTTGAAGATGCTTTTCTTCATGATGCTCTGTACACACATGGTGAAGACGGACACCAAGGCCACCATGCAGAGAATAAAGATTCCCACAGCCAGGAAAATAGCTGTGGCCTGCCAGAAGCCGCTGGCGATCTCGCCGAAGCTCTCGGCGTAGGGCCCGCACAGCGTGTCCCGCTGGAAGTGCTGCATCCCTGGGTTCCGGATGCAGCGGGCGTAGATGCCCAGGGTGGGGTGGTAGGGCTCGGGGGAGCCCCCGCCCGGGCCCGCCGGCTCTGCGCCGCCGCGGCTCCTCGCTTTCCCGATCAGCCAGTCTGCGCTCATGAAGGCAATGAGCTCGGCAAAAGCCACTACAATACTCAGCAAGGTCCAGAGCATCGAGCGACAGGTGACAATGACATGACACATATTGATGTTCCAGGCGAAGAAAGAGTCAGGAGTCCACGGAGTTAATCAAAGAAAGAAAGTCGGTGGGGAAGGAGGCTCGGGCGGCCTGGGAAGGAAGTCGCAGCTGCAGTCATTCACTCCCGCCGCCGGCCGCGTTCATGCTGGGGACAGCGCTCCCGGACCCAGAGCACTGCCTGTGGCCTCACCTAGGGGAGAGGGAGGGCGGTTAGCAGCGTAGCCAGGCCCCGCCCCGCCTTCCCGCCGCGCAGCGACACAGTCCAAGCCCGGCCCGCGCCCGCACAACCCTGCCAGCAAGCCCCGGGCCGGCCAGCATGCCAGGCGGTTGTTGCACTCGCTGCGTTTGTTTCAAGTTCTCCCTGACATCACTGCACTCAGAACTCTATGTGGCAGTTAACCTTCTCTCTCGGGAGCGCTATGGAAGGAGGCGGCTAGTGCCAGGTCCTGCTCCCAACCCAGGGAGCACTGTCCCGGTTGCTGCTGCACTCTTAGGACAGGGCTCCCGCTCCCTCATCTTTTACTGGAAAAAGTCAGACAGCACAGGGATCCAGAGAAGAGGAGGCAAGAATGGCAATCAACTCTATTAGTGGATTTTTTTGTTTTTTTTTTTTAAGTTTGCAAGACTTTTTGGCCTGCTGTTTTGGTACTAGGTGAGTTAAGTTTTGCGAAACTTGCACCAAGCGCTTTTGCTTAACAGTAGAGAGTAGCAACACCCCACTTTTATTTCCTGGAAATTAAATTACTAGCAGAGACATAAGTGTGTTTGCTTCATAGGTAAATAAGAAACAATCCCATGAAAAAGAATAAACAAAACATTGCTCCCACACCTATATTTCATCCATTTTTCACAGGGTGATTTTCAGACAAAATAATTTACACTAATTAAAACTCAGAGGGAAAAAAAACCTTAAGAGTTCATGACTGACTTGGGGAAATTATTTTTAAAAGACATTAATGACCGTTAACTAAGCATCATTACAACTGAGTGGACTTGTTGACAACAGAACCTTGTCTATGAAGAATGCATCCCTTGAACTGTCCCAATTCATCCCATGTGCCTCTGCCTAAGCTTCGATTCACCCCAGGTCTGGAACTCAACGTGCCCATTGTTTCTCATTTCACAGAGGCCTCATTCTGTCCCCAAGGAGGAATGACTTCATTACCAGAAGACATTGCTCCAATGGCTCAAGCCTTCTTCAGAGGAGTGTAGACCCTGAAATGGGGGCCAGCAGTGCTGGTCTGCAGCCCCGTTTTCTGCCCCATTTCAAGGCCAAGAACAATCCCTCAGCTTACATCTGGGCACATGGCCCTGCTCTGAATGATTAGATCTCATTAACCGAGGTCAAGTCAACTCCATGAGAACTGCAAAGAGCCCCCTGGCATGTTGGGAGTGGGGCGAGGCAGGGAGTTATCAAAGAGGAAGAGAAGCGGGGAAATAAGGAAGCCCAGTGTCAAAGCTTAAAATGCCCGTTTCCACACCCTGCACCAGCTGTCTGCCTGCTGGTTGACTTCCTAGTTAGCATGTGATCTACCCATCCCTTGAAACATGATGTATTTTAAAATCCTCATATCATGGTGGTTGCTATACAAGATGCTATTTTGGGGACACAGCTAGTGCACTACTAGGAACATATGCACTTAATTGTCAGGGTGTGTGTGCGTGTGTCACAACGCTATGCCGAGCACTGGGTAAGGGAAGGGAGTCCATCAGGTATGGGTTCCAAAGCCAGCTCCAGTACTGACCATGTGCATGTCTAACTTCTCAGAGCTTCCTCGTCTGAGCTGGTAAGGGTAGCCTACCTCACCAGATTATTGCAAGGAATGAACAAGAACCTACTGAAGCACCCACACAGTGCCTGGCAGAGTAAGTGCTCAACAAGTATCAACTCCTTGCCCTCAGAAGCTTTTCCTGTAACATAGATGACACCGTTCAGACAACTATTGGTCCAGTGGAGGTGCCCAGTAGATTACAGAAACCTGGCCACTGCTCACAGAAAACATTAAGCACAGGCTACTTAGAGATGGACGAGGTCACTCATGTCTAAACTTTCCTGGCTGCCTTCAAGGGCAGAGTCCTGGTCTTCCTGTTTCCCCACTACCTAACTCAGCTGCCAATCCACCTGGTGGAGATAAATTAGCATTCAGCCAGGAGGTATATCCTACTCCAACTCACTCATTCTCAGCTCCTCCTCCAGATAGTACCGAATAGAAAGCCTTTTGAAAAAAAAGTTACTGAGGGCTTTAGAGGAGATTGTTTATCATGAAAATGATCATTCTAAAAGAGAACAAGAAAATGAACCAAAAAGACTCCCAGGAGGCCCTGAGAGGCTGCACGTGCCCACCAGGCTCACAAATACTTTGAGTCCACAGGTGGCAATCCCAGCCTGTTGAGTGCTTTATATAAAGCCTTCCCATTTGATTAGAAAACCATTTTAGTTATGCCCAGCCAATCTCTGTCCCATCCCTTTTCTGTTAAATGTAATTTTTCTTTTTTTTTTTTTTTGAGATGGGGTCTCACTCAGTCACCCAGGCTGGAGTGCAGTGGCATGATCTTGGTTCTGCCTCCCCGGTTCAAGCAATTCTCCTGCCTCAGCCTCCAGAGCAGCTGGGATTACAAGCACACATGACCATGCCTGGCTAAATTTTTTTTTAGTAGAGATGGGGTTTCGCCATGTTGGCCAGTCTGGTCTCAAACTCCTGACCTCAGGTGATCCACCCACCTTAGCCTCCCAAAGTGCTGGGATTACAGGCATGTGCCATTGCCCCAGCCTGAATGTAATTTTTAAATGATAACATTCATATTTGTCCTCCTGCAGAACTGCAGGGCTCCTACAACCTCTCAGGTGACTTGTATCTTAATGACTACTCCAGCGTCCACTGCCCTGGCCAGCAAGGTCTGCTCAGAGTGAGGAATGCAATTAGTTTGCAGCATCTGAAGAAAAAGGCTGTAAAAGTTCAGGAGAGGAGAAGATGGGACGTCTGGACTTAGCAAAATGCCTGAGAACTATTTGAAGGCAGGATTGCTTAAGGACACACATGCTTAAGTTAAAATAATATAGTTCCCTCTCCTTTGTGCTAAAACATTTCCTCATTCACTGCACCAAATTCTCACACCCACACAAGACTGGCTGGGATGAGGGCTTCATTACTCTGTTTTCAACGCGGGGAAAAGATGCTCTGTTCTCCCTGGTAAGTTTGCTAACTGCTACTATCAGAGGAACAGTTGTGATATGCAAGGCTGACTAAAACTGAGGCTTCCTGGGGGCTGTGATATGGTTTGGCTGTGTCCCCACCCAAATCTCATTTGAATTATACTCCCATAATTCCCACATGTTGTGGGAGGGGTCTGGTGGAAGATAACGGAATCATGGGGGTAGATCCCCCTTACTGTTCTCATGGTAGTGAATGCATCTCATGAGATCTGATGGTTTTATAAGGGCAACCTCTTTTGCTTGGTTCTCATTCTCTCTTGTCTGCCACCATGTAAGACATGTCTTTCGCCTTCCACTATGTGAGGTTTCCCAGTCACGCAGAACTGTGAGGACTCCATTAAACCTCTGTTTCTTTATCAATTACCCAGTCTAGGGTATGTCTTTATCAGCAGTGTAAAAACGGACTAATAGAGGCTGCAAGCAAAGTTCTTAGGGTGGCAGGACAAGGGACCATCTCGAAGTGCAGCAGGGGCCTTCTGCAGTGGTCTGTGCTCTGTGAAGTGTACCAGTTTGGCGAAGTGTACTCAAAGGCAGGTACCTACTGAGACATCTGTATCAAACGGGAAAGAGATCCTCATGACAGAACTCTGTTAACCACAGGGATATGATGCACAGCCCTCCTCGGCCTGACATTCGTTGCTATTAACCGTAATGCCTGCTTCCACAAAGCCCACTTCATAAACCAGGCCCTCACTGCCATTCTACGTAAACGACTTCTCTCCATGGGCCACTAAATACGTTTCCCTTCGAGAACACCGCATCCCTGGTGATTGTGGATCATCTAGACAGCCCTCTTGATGTTCAGAAAACGATGACTGGCACAAAGGTATGCAAAATAAAGCCTCTTCACTTAAAAAAAAAAAAAAAGACAAATGAGAATCCTGCAGAAACCTACATTAATACCATAGGATAGGGAGCAAAGAGGAGTTTCTAAATGGCTGGTCTGTGGGAGTCAGTCCTGTGTACGGATTCTTCCCAGAGCCCTACTTCGAAAAGGTAGAGTGAAGGTCCTCAGCAGAGCTGAGCCGGGGTTTGTCACTTAAATCCCGGGTCTGTCTTTGGCAGCTTCCTGCTGTCAGCAGGGAAGAAAGTACATGTGAAGCCAGAACCACCCAGTGCCCATCGGCTGGATCACCCGGACAGAAACTCAGGAGCAAAGTTCATATCTACCTGGAAAGAATAAGGGAAACCGGAAGGACGTTGATCAAGGCGGCATCAAAAAGCTCTCAGTCCCCATCCTGATGGGAACAGCACACCCAAAGAATGAGGCCAGGACAAACAATGTTTCGAAGAACACTACCTTGCTTACTCACCCTGGTTCAGTTTTTCAACTTTATTATGAACGTTTTCAAACATAGATATGAGTTGGTAAGAACAGACAATGAACATCTACATACCCAACACCCAGATTCAACATTTGTTAACATTTTCCTGTATCTGTTTCATCAATCTGTAGCATACACACTCACACATTTTCTCAAATATCTGAAAATGAGTTGCAGATGTTTTGACACTTCACCCCTAAATACTTTAGCATACACCTCCTAAAAATAAGAACATTTTCCTATATAACCACAACAAGATTAGGACACTCAAGAGAATGGACAATAATCCCCTTATACCCAAAGTCTAGTTCCTACTCAAATTTCCCTACCCCTGCCCTGTTTTCAATAGCTGTTTTCTTAAAACCATGACTCAATCACGGCTCATACATTGCATTTGATTAGGTTCTTTTAGTCAAGGATAGTCTTCCCACCACAACCTATTCCACCCCTTCCCCATTATTTTCCCCCTGACATTGACTATTTGAAGACACTGGGTTAGTGGTCCTACAAAATACTCAACAACCTGGATTTGTCGATTTCCTCATGATTTCATTTCAACTTGTTCTCTATCCTCTATTTCAGAGAAACTGGAAGTTACATCTAAAGGCTAGACTGGTAGATTCTTGGCTGATCTCTATTTTTATTCTTGCA